TAAACCCTAAACCCTGAAACCCCCAGCTCCAAGGCTTGATGTGGCCACCGACCTGATCCCTGTGGTCGGCTCGGCGAAATCCCTGGCGCAGGCGGAGACCAACAATGAGGTGCTGCTGGCGACGCGGCGGAACAGTTTCCTGTAGGGTTTAGGGTTTAGGNNGGGTTTAGGGGTTAGGGGTCAGGGGTTAGGGGTTTAGGGGTCAGGGGTTTAGAGCTTTAGGGCTTTAGGGCTGCTTTAGGGCTTTTGGGGTTTGGGGTTTAGGGGTTCGGGGTTTAGGGGTTTAGGGTTTACGGGGCTGAGTATATAGGTAACCTTTAACTTGTTGGGGCTTATATTATAGACTGTCATCCTACCGTAATTTCAATCGTTAAGCTTTTCTGGGCTAAGATCCTGAGCCCTTCGAAGTGAATAGGACTTAGGTGTTTACGGAATTGGGTTGTTCAGAAGTTTATTGATGTTTAGGGTTTGGGGTAGAGGGTTTAGAGTTCACTGGGTGGTTGTTACGGAGTTCAGTTTAAATTGGATAATAGTAAGACCATAGCAAGGTACAACAGATCCCTATTATGGTAACTTCAACGAGATTCGTTAACAAGAACCCAGGTTGGGGGCCTGAAGCAAATTGTTCGGCTCTTGGGCGAAGAGCACGATTGTACAAAGTCTGCAGGGCGCGAACAGCCCAAAATCGATGCACGCTGACTTGGACCCTTCATGCACAAACCCCGAACCCCAAACTCTGAACGCTGAACCGCGAACACCTAAGCACGAAAACCCTAAACTCTCAATCCCAAAACCCTAGAACCCTAAACCCCAAAGCCCTAAACTTAAAACCCTAAACCCTAAGCCCTGAAACCCTGAACCCCTCCTATGATTGCTTTTGACATTATCAACAATATTTCTCATTGTAACGGTACTGTCTGTGTATATATATATATATATATCTACATATATATATATATATATACATATATGTATATATATATATATATTCACAAATGCAGATTTATACGTGTATGACCATCAATCACAACATGGTAACATGCACTGTCGGGGCCAGTTGAGAATTTAGAATATGTAGTTCATACAGAGGCCTCACCCAGAAAAGCAGCTTCATTTATCGATTTTCAACTGCAACCTTCTGCGGTAACATACTTTGTGATCCCAACCCTGATGAGTTTACGGATTGTAAAGCCCTAAACCCTAAACCCCTAAACCCTAAACCCTAAACCCTAAAACCTAAAGGCCCGAAAGCCTCATAACTCTAAACCCGGAAGCTACAATCCCCAACTGAATACCACCTAAGCCTTATCACGGTGTAGGGGTTTAGGGTTTACTTAAAAGATCATGGGACTTAGTAAGTAGGGTTATTAGGGTAACTATACTTATAACCCCAATTAAGGGGCTTATAACCTTACTTACCAAGTCCCATGATCCCCCAAGTAGGGCTATTAAACCAAACCCTAAACCCTAAACCCTAAACCCTAAACCCTAAACCCTTACTTACTAGGGGTATAGGGTTACCAAACCAAACCCTCGCTAAACCCTAAACCTAAACCCCAAACCCCAAACCCCAAACCCCTAAACCCCTAAACCCTAAACCCTACACCCTTACTTACTAGGGGTATAGGGTTACCAAACCAAACCCTCCCTAAACCCCAAACCCCAAA